TATGCCTATTTGAATAAAATGTATATTGTGCTTTGTCTGGATTCATTTCTCTCCATGTATCTTGTATACATAATTCATCTTTCATCTTTAAGAAGGGTTTAGGTAGGGTATTTCCCCCTTTTTTCCCTTGTTTGTTGCTTTTATAATCCTGTTTTGCGTCAGCTATTGCATTAAAGTCTCCAAGTACACAAAGATTTTGATAGTTTAATTCCACTAGTTTGTCATGTAATTGTTGAAAAAACTGATCTTGCTTCTCATTGGGGGCATATATCACAACCATCAAAATTTGTTTTTGATTCCATGTAATTTCCACCATTAATAGTCTCCCTTCATCATCAACATAGATTTGTTTTGGATTCATCTTTTCTTTTATATAAAGAGCTACCCCTCTTTTCTTTTGCAATGCCAAAGAAAAATAAAGTTTACCTATTTTTGGTTGTTCTAAAAATCTAAAGTGTTGTCTTTTAATATATGTCTCTTGAAGACAAATTATGTCCATTTTCAATTTTTGTAGTCTATAAAATATTTTACTCCTTTTTGATTGGGAGTTAAGACCATTTATATTTGTTGAAAAAATTCCAATCTCCTCCATGATTTTAGTTGTATCTAGATCTCAATCTTCTAGGAGAACTTATCTGCCTCTGATCTTTGGGCCTTACATCTTCCTCTGATTGGGTCTTTTTAGGTTCTTCCTCCTCCATTTGTTTTGATGCTCCTGCATCCGTCGTTTCCTCTGGTTTCTTAGATTCGACATCGCCTTTTTCCAGAAAAGCTCTATGATTGTTGAAAAATTCCTCTGCTTGAAGTGGGGTATCCAATCTATATCTTTTTGAGTCCCAAAAGATTAATAATCCTTCTGAGACCAACCATCTAAAATTCACTCCTTTATTAAACAATTTCCTTGTTAAAAATTGATATTTTCTTCAGGCTTCTCTTATTCTTTTGGGAATCTGTTTAAGAACTACAAGTTCTTTATCTTTATATTTCAGTGGTTGATCTCTTATTGCTCACAAGATCTCATCTCATGTAAATCTTTTGAGGAATTTTATGTGGACCTCCCTAGGAACTCTATATCTTCTTGTGTAGCTTGAATTGATTCTAAAAACCTGATCCATTTCTCGTTTTATTTGGTCCATTCCAAGTAATTCCATTCCAAGTAATTTCATTTGGTCCATTTCCATTCCAAGTTCTCATCCTTCTCTTCTATAATATTTTGAAATCTTAAGAAGTATGATGCTCTTTCCATCTCCATGATGGCCATGCTGTCTTCCAATTCCGCGTTAGCTTGCACCAGTCCACAGGTCGGCAACCTGCAGCTCCAGAACCGCATGCGGCTCTTTGAGCCTTCCCCTATGGCTCCCAGCCTCCTCTGCCATTTGCAGAGAGAGACAGAGACAGAGAGAGGCACTTGCACTTCCCTTCTCTCTCTCTCTCTCTCTCTCTCTCTCTCTCTCTCTCTCTCTCTCTCTCTCTCTCTGTGTGCGTGTGTGTGTGTGTGTGTGTGTGTAAAAAAGAGTAGCCTCACCCTGTTCGATCAGCCGACAAGCTTACTGGGCGGGGCTCCTGCCTTGGCTGCGTCTCTGCAAGAAGCAGGAAACAGGAAGCAGGAAGGGCATGAGAGAGCTAGCTAGCCCAGCTATGCTGACTCAGGAATTCTGGGAGTTGAAGTCCACGAGTCATAAAAGAGCTGAGGTTGTCTATCTCTGAGCTTGTTGGAGAACAGCTTGAAGCCAGCTTGCCAGGTGAGCAGAAAATCAGAGAGAGTGAGGGGGGAGAAAGAGAGAGAGGGAGAGAAAGAGAGAGAGGGGGAGAGAAAGAGACGGGGAGAGACAGAGAGTGAAAGAAAGAGAGTGGAGGAAGACGACTGGCAGACCAAGGGCAGAGAGAGGGAGAGGGAGAGAGAGGGGGAGGGAGGGAGGGAGGGAGAGACAGAGAGACAAAGAGAGAGACCCTTTTGACATCTAAAATGAAGATAACACTGCATATATCCTTTTTTATCTTTATGATTTTATATGTATGTATGTATGTATGTATGTATGTATGTATGTATATGTAAAAAAAGATATATGCAGTGTTATCTTCATTTTAGATATCAAAAGGGTTTTGCAGCTCCCAGTGTTTTGTTCTCGGTGGGAAATGGGTCCAAGTGGCTCTTTGAGTGTTTTGGGTTGCCTACCCCTGCACCAGTCTCTGATTTTCATCTTGCAAGGCTTCTAGTTTCTGATCAACCACCACTGACTTATCTTCTATTTTTTGCATTCTTTGTTGAGTATCTGTCATCGCCTGTTGAAAGGTTTCCATATTTTGATCCATTTTAAGAAGATCGTTTTTCAAATCTTCATATTTTTTTTCCAAATCTTTTTTCATTTCCATTTTGAAATCTGCGATTGCTTGGAGTGTCGCTTGAGTATCTTTTTGTTAAGTTTCCTGTTGTAAAAATGTAGTAATTGATTTTTGGGGGGCTAGGCTCACCGAGGTTGAGGTGGGGGCCGAGGAGCCCTTCCTCACCCCTTTAGCCAAATTTGAAGCATTCATCTTCTAATTGTTATATTTATTTATAACCCACTAAGGAGCCCAATGGCTAATTATAATCCACCAGGTGGCCCGATGGCCAATTGTAATCCAGTGCCCTCCTATTATCAGGAGACAAGGCCAGACGTGATTTAAAAAAAGAAAAAAAAACAATTCCAATGAGGAGATAATTAAAAAAAGAAAGAGAAAAAACTTCCACAACCATCCAAAAAGGAGAAAGAATATTGCAGCTGAATAAACAAAGGTGCTAGAGAACAAAAAGAAAAAAAGTTACAATGTGGCCACCAGGGAATGCTGTCTCTTTCCCCAGACGTTTGAATAAGGAGGGGGAAAAAGTATTCAAGGGTGGAAACACAGTTTTAAAGTTCTTTAAAGTTCTAATAAGAAAAAAAAGCAGAAAAAAAGCAGTTAAGGTGGCTTTTCCCACTTAATATGTCTTTCCTTTCCTTCCCAAAATGAAATGATTTCTCCAGTTAAAAAGTTTTAAAATAGTCCAAATTAATTCTCCTTAGTAAATGTCACTTAAACCGCCGCTTACACGGGAGGGGGGAAAACAAAAACCCTCCTCCTTCCTCCCTTCAGGTTTCCAGCTCCAGGTTAAAGACAGGCTATTTTTTTTCAGTAAAGTCCACTTTACAAAGAGAGAAGAGGCATAATCTCACCCGGCCCGGCTGCTTGCTTTCCAAATCAGGTGTTTTCTGTCTCTGACGATCAGCTGTTAATGGCGGCTTGCATAAATGCGATCCACCTTTCTTTTGCTGGTTCCAGGGGCTGCTTTGGGTTCGGCAAGCCGGCTACCACCGGCTCCCGTTCCTCAAAGGTTCGCCGTTTGGTGGCCACCCCTCCAGGGTGGCATTTAGCCCAAGCGGGCCTGCCAGCAAAGGAATTTCAGACCCGGGGAATGGAGAGTCGTTCCCCAGGGTCTACAGTCAGCAACGTCACCGGAAATCCTCCTCCTTTTATCAAGATCACTGTTTTGCAATAGAAAAACAGTAATCCTGACCATATCAATGTCCATGGAAGGACTATAGTTAAAATTTCTTTCTTCCAGTGATCCTTAATTAGTCTTGTTTGAGGAATATGGGAGGGAGAACAAAAAGGAAAGAGAACAAGAAATAAGCCTGTGTGAATTGGCAGGCAGCAATTCTCTCCTTCTCTGAATATCACAGATAATAAGAGTCTTTGGTCAGCTAATTTGTTTGAGTAGCTGGGCTGGGTCACTTGGAAGAGACTCAATGGACTAAGATAGCAAGGAAAAATATCACCTGTCTTTTTCTTATATACCAGTGTTTCTCAACCTTGGCAACTTTATGAACTGGCCAGTAATCATGACAATAATTGCATATGACTATCTGGGCTGGAAGATCCCTTCCCTTTCCCACAATTATGCCACTCACTACCATATGCCTATGGAACCACCAAAGAATTCATTCCAAAGAGATCAACCCTCCTCTCTGCTGTGCTTTTCCATCGTTTGAATCATTCAACAACCTGGAAATATTTATTAGAATAAGAGATAATGCCGAGCCTAAGATCATCAAGCAAGTTTCTAATAGAAGAGAATATGTATAGCTCAGGGTTGAACTATGGAGTACTTGGTGCTCTCAGAGCTTGGTTGTGTGCTAGCAGACATTACATTACCAAACTAATATGATGTTACTTCATTGGGTAATGAAACATCTGCAAACAAACAACTGAGCTTAAAAAGCACCAACAACTCTATAATAAGTTTCTTTACAAGTCTTTATAAAATATACATGGTACATTTCATAAAGACTATACTGTAAATGTAAAATGGTTATGATACAATAGGAGTAGCAGCAAAATGAATAATTCTGCATTCTGAACCATACATGTAATTCCCCCATATACACCTCTACCTTCCCATCCCTTGGCTATGAATACTTTATTATAAGATGAAGAACAAAATCACCTTGAAAGTGCATTGTATGAGAAGTTGGGGGTGAAAAGGTGGACCTGGTGAATTTAACCTTCAGATCCCAATTGAGCATGCATGATAACACCTTTCTTCTCTTATAGACTTTTGGTCAGTGCTTCACAAGATGGAAAACTCATTGTATGGGATACTTATACAACCAACAAGGTAGGAGATACATAAGCAAATAGATGCTATGTCCACAATCTGTTAGCAAGCAATGCTAGGAATGAAAAGTGGCTGCTAGCATTTTGCCTTTGAGTTTACTTTCTAGTAATGAAGCCTCTGCTACTATAGCTGTTGCTTTTCTCACTTCTGACCAAGAAACTAAAGGTGGATTTCTTCCCTACTCTTTAATTACAGGTTCATGCCATCCCTCTCCGGTCTTCTTGGGTCATGACCTGTGCCTATGCTCCATCAGGGAATTTTGTGGCCTGTGGAGGTCTTGACAATATGTGCTCCATCTATAACCTCAAAAGTCGTGAAGGAAGTGTGAAAGTGAACAGGGAGCTCTCAGCTCACGCAGGTAATTGTTTGTTCTAAGACTAGGTCTTGGTAAAGCTATAGCTACAGTCCATGAAAAAAAAGCAAACCAAAATATAATATTGCAACAGGAATGGATGAGAAAGTCTGTAGCTTCCATTTTAAACAAACATATTTTTGTAGGAATAAAAAATGAGGAATAAAAAAGAATTTAAGGATTTACACAGTGTTGCTCCAATAGTGGAAAGTTGGTTGCAAGCTTATGGATATTAACTAACATCTGGATTAACATCTCAGAAGCCAGAGACTGCTGGATAGGATGTCTGATAGTTCCATGTGACCAGCAGAAGCAGGCTAAAAGATAATTATTTAAATACAAATAGAATTTTGTAGAATAAAAAATTCTCATTTTTTGAGCCTCATAATGACTATGTGCTGCAAAACCCAGCTTCTATTGACAAAAAAAACAAAATATTTCTGGAAAAGATAATAAAATGTGTCCTGTATAAGTCTTTTTCCTCTGTAAGAAAGAGACCTCTATAAGTCTCTTTCTTCCCTTCAACAATATTCCTCTTCTCTTACTCCTGCTCTACAGGCTACCTTTCTTGCTGCCGATTCCTGGATGACAATAATATTGTAACTAGTTCTGGGGACACCACTTGGTGAGTACTTCTATCTATGGTGTATGAACTGGCCAGCAAGTAACCATATGGGTACCCTTAGTACCATGTTTCCCCAAAAATAAGACCCAGTCTTATTTTTTTTTATTATTATTATTTGCCTCTAAAAGAGGCACTGTGTCTTATTTTCGGGGGGGGAGTGTCTTTTCCACTCACCTCCGGCACCAACAGCCTTGCCCAGCCAGACCACTTCCTCTGCAGCTGAAGGAGCAGCTTCATTCTGCAGCCAAGAACCGTGCTACAGATTGAATCTATAGCTCGGTTCTTGACTTCAGAGGCCTTCCGGAAAGGCCTCTGATGGCGAAATGCAGGCCCGAGCTGCATTCTCAGCTGCAGAATGAAGCTGCTCCTTCAGCCGCAGAAGAAGTGGGCCTGCGAGGCAAGTGTCAATCCATGGGAGGCCTGGCTGTAATGGTAACTCCACCCCACCCTAGCTTGATTTTTAGGCATCACCTCACCCCAAAACTAGGGCGCATTTTTGGGGTAGGACTTATATTAGGCCCACCCCAAAAAATCAAGCTAAGGTTTATTTTCGGGGTAGGTCTTACTTTCAGGGAAACGGTATTTAGCAATAGCAATAGCATTTAGACTTATATACTGCCCCACAGTGCTTTACAGCACTTTTGCCCTCAACAGTTTGGGTCCTCATTTTACTGACCTTGGAATGGAAGGTTGAATAAACCTTGAGCCCTATCAGGATCGAACTCCAGACAGAGGGCAGAGTTTGGCCAGTTTGGGTTAGAGAAGCTAAGGGCGGACCAAATATCAATGTTTGTTCCAAAATGTTAAGACTCTGCTGGTGGCATTTCCTTGCCTCACCCATATTCTTCTTTTTAAGGGAATTCTAGCTGCTTTCTTTTTTTTAAGTGTCATTTGCATGCTCATTGCATGATGTCATCTCTATTTGCTCCTAAGGGATCAATGGGAATAACTGTTTTCATCAAGCTCTGACCACAAACATCCCCTAGAAGGTTCTGCCAAGCATAGACACCCAACCTAGGCCCCATCAGTAAAGAAAAAGGTCTGCTGTATTTTGCTGCATGAACAGGAAAAATTGAAGAAAAATGTTTAGCTCTGCTAGCTTCCATAATCTATTGAGTTATTCTGCCTCTCAGTCACTCACTCCCATTTGGCACTGTCTGTGGGGTCCAAGAGGTCAGTTCTGGTTGCTCTTCCAATAGGGAAGAAGTGATTAAGATATCCTTGGCTGAATTTAACTTTAAATCAATATGACCAAACTGCATAACGAGAGAACATTTTTGCAACTAGGAGGCTGTTCATAAGCACATATTTAAATATGAGAAAAATAGGAGAAAGATTTTTTGGCTATGTTTGCTGTCTTGAATTATTTGTAAAAATAATAAAGTCAGGGAAGGAAGGAAGGAAGGAGGGAGGGAGGGAGGGAGGGAGGGAGGGAAGAAGAAGGAAAGAAGTGAGGAAGGAGGGAAGGAAGGAAGGAAGGAAGGAAGGAAGGAAGGAAAGAAAGAAGGAGAGAGGGAAGGAATATTCTATTTTCTGTATTATTCCCCCTGAGTTTATAGCAATTTTATTGTTAGATTACTTTTGAATACAGATCTGTAAGTATTTCAAGCCTGTATCATATGGGAAGATTATCAAAATAGCAACTCACTGCAGCCTAAGCAACTTCTTCTCCTTACAGCATGCTGTGGGATATTGAGACAGGGCAGGCGAAGACCACATTCATAGGACACACTGGGGACTGCA